TGCTATTTCATAATACCTGTATCATATTTTTATTACTACTAAATTGATTTTTTTGTAACGTCCATAAATATTCCAGTGGGGTGCGCAGGGTAATTCTGAATATAAAAAAACAATTTACAGGCATATTTCCTTAGAAAAATATATTGAAAAAATATGATAATATTTTATTCCGCAGAAAAGTATAAGGAAAAAAAAAGTGGCACAGTTCGGGCTGATGATAAAGGGTTTCATATGTGGTAGGATGGAAATACGTGTGCAACGAACTGTTATGTGAATTTCGCCTAAGGGTTAGAGGGATTTTTATGGATCGCATAAATTCACGTTGTACGATCGGTCTTTTAGTTTCTTTGCTGTGCAAGCCTGATCCTGTCCCTTGAGTATACACCTTGAACGGTGTCAATCCAAGCCAGAGCAATGCTTTCGTAGAACATTTACGAGTGACAACTAATCTTCTGTCCCTATATTTTGTTTACCCCTGACACGTACCCCATCAAATCTGGTATTACGTATGCAGCCTCGGTATTACAAGATAAAGATCTTGTAAAGCTTCTGGCTAATCTTTTGATAAGTTCAAAGCACATGCATGCATTGAGTATCTATCTTCAAGTTTTTTTTTTTTTTCTTTTTTTTTTTTTTTTTTTTTAATAAAGCATATATGTTATAGTGAAATCTGAAGATTTAAAGAATTTTGTCACCTCCACTCGTCATTTGCATAGATAAATTACAATATGATCCAGATCACCTATACTACCTGTATTATGTGATGCATATTTTATACACCCACCCTTCCTACAGATACATTCAACACAATACCAATAATTTTTCTATTTATATTATAATGTTATAAATTTTATAGTATTCCAATATTTTCTTTTATGTTATAAATTTTATAGTATTTCAATATTTTTTTCAAAATTTCTTTTAACCTTCGAGGACGGACCATGGAGAGAATCCAAATTTTAATTTAATTCTCTATTTCATATTATTTTCATTTTCTAAATTTTCACTCTTTGGTTTGCGATTGATCAAAACTTTGCTGTTTAAGGGTTAATTATCCTGAAATTATATTTTATATAAAATAAAAGAAATAAAATAAGGAAGTTATTTATTTTTATATCGTTGAAAGTACTATAGGATTCCAATATCATAAAACTGATCACACAATAAATATTACAGAATCGTACCGACATTAATCCTTAAAGAACGAAAAGAAACAAAGTAAGAGGAGCATGTCAAACAACGTGTATCAAGTCCAGTATTGATTACTTATTTTCATATTGCGCTCTACTATCATTATTTCCCCGAGGGCTTGTAAAGTTACGATTCCTAAACGTGTCGAAAGAATTCCAGGAAGAAGAATGTATGAATTGTCAAGCCCAAGGGCGACCATGTTTTCCTGAAAGATATGGATGTTCTTCTGAACGATTGTTCCTTCATTGATCAAACAACTTTTATCGACATTTTTCATCTTTTTAGGAGCATTTTTGTTCGTCATCCATCTGAAAAGTATGCACGGAATGAAATGGAACTGAGAGAATGTTAAATCACTGGAAATATTGAAATTTATGTGTACAGATGTCTTGAAAAGGAAGAAAACATAATCTAATTTAGAAAGTAAATAATTTTGCAAATACATTATTAGATTTTTCTTTCTCTTATTTGCTGCTAATTTGAATCATTCTAATTAATCATTCGTTACTCAATCTTACCTTTTTACGTTGAAACCAAAATTGTGTCTTAAAAAACATTAAATTATTATACTAAATTTTACTATTGAAAAGGAAGAAGTCAATGGCACTTTGAAACGTTGATCAAATTACATAATATTGCATCTGGTTGATTAAAAGCGGTATTACGAAAGCAGCTATTTAACCAGAAATTACTCGTCACGATCAGAATTTCTAATTCACTTTCGCGTTATATACGTCGAGATATGTTACATACGAGACGTTTACATCGGTGTACGTAACAATATTACCATAATTCACCGTAACCTTGTTACTCGCACGAGCAACTATGTATAAACTTGTTTACTTGTTTAAAATTTCAAGAATTTGAAAAATAATATGCAAATTGTAACAGCAACTTGCATGGTCTACATTTTCAAGTAAATTATCTACATCGAACAAGAACTCGTTTGTCTTTTAACTTTCCCAAGTAAGTAAATTTTAATGCTAATCCGACACGGTGTCGGCCTAGTTGTCGTGTGACACATGTTATCCAACATAATCGCGTAGAGGCAGACGAGGTCGTATACGCTTCCAATACTTACATATGTATGTACATACGTTTTAAAGTGGACACTACGTCACAGGTGACCAGAATGCTTACGCTCGTTTTCCTTACAACAATCAATATTATCGATCCGACCGGCATGAATGTCAATCCGTGTCACGGAAACATATTTTCTAATTTATTCCCTTGTTTCATGAGGTACATATTACTAATCATGAGAAAAGACAAATTTTTCATCAGACATTTGCAACAATAATTTATTCCATATATGTATATATATATACATATTACTAATCATGAGAAAAGACAAATTTTCGCACGATTAAACAAGGGAATAATTTTTCATCAGACATTTGTAACATTAAATTATTCCATAATGATTTATTGAAGAAAAAACTAAAATTTGTTTAAAATTTATTTCTTCTATAATAAAAACAGAAGCAATAATTCTATTTATAGTTAAAAATATTAATAAATAAAAATTCAAATAAATAGAAAATCTAATTAAATTAATAGGAATAATTTTTGCAAATGTAGAGAAAAAAAAATTTCATTATGGTATAATTTAATATTGCAAATGTCTGATGAAAAATTTGTCTTATATACAGGGTGTTTCGTTTAAAACAGTCCACCTAAATATCTCTATCTCTGAAAATACAAAAAATGTTTCTGACGTAATCTAAATGGTATCAAAAGACAAATCAGATGGAAGAACCGTTTTTTATAAATTGTAATTTTTTAATCGTTTTTTTTGAGGTCACTCGTGTTTAAATTGTAGAGTCCACGGTCACTTCAAGGTCGTGCTATTAAACATGGATAATATTTGCTATAACATACAACAACAAAAAATGTGTGTACATACGTAAAAAACACGAGTGACTTAGAAAAAACGATTAAAAAATTACAATTTATAAAAAACGATCCTTCCATCTGATTCCTCTTTTGAAACCATTTAGATTACGTCAGAAACATTTTTTGTATTTTCAGAGATAGAGGGAATATTTAGGTGGCCTGTTTTAAACGAAACACCCTGTATATATACAATTTTATAATCATGGATTTTCTATCTTTAAAGAGTTAATCGATCATGAACGTATTGAAAGCAATCGGCGCGAATTAACCCTCCGCACAAATGGAACAATGATCGCCAAACGTTACTGACCTTAATACGTCGGATTCGCAACGGATTCGTCTCTGACGGACCGCAATTTTATATCTCACTGATTCGCTTTTATATTTTTGTTCAGAAAGTGTCGATTGAAACGCGGCTTTCAAAGGAAAATGGCACGAGGACAGCTGTGCGCCGATTTTAAAGGAGCGTCGCGGTTAATTTCAATCTTTTCAAAGACTCCCACGCACGGGCAAGCTTTCGAACAATCCTTTTTTGAGCAGCGCGATGTCTCATCAGCGGTGCATTAGCACGAAAATTGAAATCTCCCTCTGCGTTCCGTAAAAAACGTGGTTCGATTGTAACGCGACATCGTCAATTCCGCAATTTGTTCACGCGATACCGCGTGATTGGACATTTATCATCGACACACGCGATATGACGTGAGGGGACATTCGAGTAGATGATATCGCGCGGGCGACAATAAACGCGACTTTTTCAACCCTGATTGTTCCAAAAAATCAATGGAATTTTATTTGAAAAATAAAAAATAAAATTTACTCTGTAACCTTGAGATGACCTTGGTCCCAAAATTCTAATTAATTCAATATAATATTAAAGAAGTGCTTTCTATGTTACCATTATTAGTAGCTGTCTGAAATCGTAATTGGAGCGATAACTATGATAAATGACTATTTCATGAACACATAACAGTTAATTAACAAAATTTCATTTTTTCCCACCCTGTAGTGCAGTCAGGCTAACTTTCCAGGGGACTAAAAAAGTTTTCTCCCCCCGTCATGCGTAACTGACAGGAATTGATGAGCTGCTTCAACTAGGGGAGAGCCGCAAATGAGGATCCTTTGTTTTACCTCGAAATTGTGTAAACAATAAACAACGGTGAAAGGGATGATTCATAAAAAGCGTTGATAGGAAAGCCCGAAGTTCGGTATTTGATTTGAAGGAGTCCATTAGTAGATAACAAACTTTGGTAAATTATGTAACAATTGGAAGTCTCGAGTTTCGGTTTGATGTGCCATAAGTGGTATTTCGTTATTCTTTATATCATGTAATTGTACTAGAATTCTTACGTTCCGAAATTGGATATTCGACGAGCAAGAACATTGTACGTTGCAATCCACAATCAGCCATTTTGTATTAGAGATATTTACGGGGGATTTGTATGGTCATTTTTAGAATATTTTAAGCTTCAATGTGATGTGCTATAAATAGTATTTTGAGATACTTTTATGTCATCAAACTGTGTTCGACTTTTGCTGTTCCATAATCGTTCATTTGACACGTGAAAATATGAATTTCTATAAAATTGTAAAATTACATGAAATTTAATTGGAATTTATCTAGTAATTTTACGTTCTGTTCTATTTTCTGATTTGACTATGATCTCATTAAATATGCAATGAATATTTTAACATATTAAATATCATAATTTTATATCTAATGTACTTGAATAGTTAACAAGGAAAAGAGACTTTTTAAAAATAATTTTACAAATATATTATTAAAAATAAAAAATAGGGAATCGTTAAATTGTCGCTTATATACACGTTCAGCTATAAAACATCCTAGAATAAAAAGAATATAGGATATAACATAGGTTGAAGACGAGAAAAAGATCTCCTCTGTTCAAACTCACCTTCGAAGCGTTGGAATCCGTAGTGGCGGTTCTTCTTTTCTGGAAAGCTTCTTGCGGAAAACAAAACCAGGACAAGAGACCAGAAAAATGAGAACTTGTATTCGAGCACTGTCACGTTTTTGTATTGGATCGTTGTTTCGATCACTTCTTCTATTCACTAGAAACTATCTCGTCATCACGAGGATTTCGATTGTTATCACTGAAGATCGATTATTGCTTCCTTTCTATTATAACAGTTAGGGATTTCTGAAATTGATGATTTAATAATTCAGTTTGATTGTATGTATGCAAAAGTTTCGTTTTGAATTACAAAACACGTTGGAACTTTAATTATTAATAATAAACATCTAATGTCTCTAAGGAATAAATTAATCATGCATATTAATAGTGTACTTTAATTAAGTGTAGTAATAGTTACTAATAATAAATTCTGATTTATCCTTCGGTTATTAATAATCAAGTCAACTGATATAATCTGTTTGCTATTAATAATAAATTCTAATTAACTCTAATGTACTATAAACAAACTTTACCAACAATCAATAATAACAAACTGAAATTCTAATTATTCAAATTTCAAGTATACACCGTATACCAATTCCGGGTCATTTTGACACTAATACTGAATTATTTCTTTTTCTGTGTACAATACACGTTGGGTTAAACTAATACTGCATTCATTGTACAAACGTTATTCATCCCCTATTAATACCCTAAATTATATCTAAAACTGTTTTAATCCACGATTAAATCTACTAAAAAATGAGAAGATCGCGTGCGAAATAGAAACAATACTTCTGTTTACGTTCAAATAAAAGTGACTTCGCGAAAAAGAACTGCATCCTTTAAACGATGAACCTACGTGAGACCGTTTCGTGTCACATGCGATGGCAAAATTTCAGCGCACCTCCCTGACCAGGTGGAAAAATGTTATAGGTCAGCTTCCGCGAAAAAAAAAATGGGAAATGTCAGAGAATTAATCAAATCACAAATGCCCGACTTACGTCGTTGACACTGGTTCTAGGAAAATGCACGAGAACTCGCGAAACGAGAAGGTTTCAGAATTGAACCGAACCGATATTGCTTCACGAATTAATTGAACGTCACTCGCTAGATACTTCGATGTCGAACGTACAGGTGAATCGGTGTTGCACTTTTTTGAAAATACACACGGGAAAAACCGTGGACGGAGGAGAAATAGTACGCGCGCGTAACGCCTGCTACGGAGGAAGCGGAAACACTGAACGCTAGGGGTTTGCCGCTCGTCAGGCGGCCTCGACTAGGAGCTAACCATAAGGTTAACCAGGGCTGCTGGTGGGGTATTAGTAGGGGATGGTACGCGAGTGTCGGAGAGTCTCACTGCATGGAGCCACCTGTCGAGGAGTAACGTTTATTAGAAAACAATACAGTAGGATCAACTCCTAATCTTGTTTAGATTTGCAATTATCTATAACGATAACTAACTGATAACATTAATCCTTGAAATCCAAATTTACAAAACACATACAAAGATATTAACGTAGTTAAATGTACAATTTTTAAGAATAATTTTTAAAGGAATAGTGTCTTTAGAATTAAAATTGGAAATCTCTCCATGGAGTTTGAATTTTTTAATTTTTAAATGCTGAAGTATTTACATTCTGGTTTAAATGTTAATTCTACGTTTAGTTAACATTTTTACTTAAATCATACATAAATGCATATATTTATTAAATATTTACAGTTTTAATACAATATATGCATTTGGAAAGATACTTTATGGATGACTTTCTAATTAACATCTATCCCATCAAACAGTCCCTTTGGCGCAGAGGATAGCGCGTTGGACTTCTAATCCAAAGGTCGCGGGTTCGATCCCCGCAAGGGATGAGTGTTGTTTTGCATATAGTGACAAAAAGTCCTATTACACTTTTTTTTTTTTACAATAAAATGTATCATTTCTGTTTCATCTAAAAAAATATTTATATAATAGGATGTGTAATTGTTATAATATTTTAGATACGGAATATGAACTATTTAAAAAATCAAAAGATGTTGATGAAACAATTTTTAATCCTTTAAACAATAGATATTTTCAAAAATCAGTATTACATTCTAAAAACTGTAAAATGGAAAGTTAACGTACTAAACTATTCTCCTAATTACAAGGCAGTTGAATTATTGCTTCCATGCTACTTGATAACTAGTTTTGCAGAGTGCTTTACTGCCAATTAATATTGCAAACTTTGCTTCCCTTTCTTCAATGTTCCACTTCTTATATGAAAGTAGTGATAAGTTTAAGTAACTCGTAAATAAATTTGAACTTTCAATATTTTCATTCGGTACCTCTATAAACATTTTTTACTTCAAAATAAAATACAAATTCCCAAACGTAATATATTTAAATTTAAACAAAATAAATGACCAGCTTGGAAATAATGGTAGTCTCATATAATTTGATGACCTAAAAATATCATAACGTAACATTTATACAATACTATGTGAAAATTCTTAAAACAGAATTAATTCACATTCGTAAATACACACTCCACTTAAGCCCATCACTATTTAAAGCGAGCAACGAACAAGTCTACTCTTTAAAATAAAAGCATGGCTCGAAGCATTTGTATGTTGCGCCGGAAATATACTGGAAAGCTCAGCGCGATAAAATGTTTCGTGATATATTCAGGAGGTCCATTTCCTTCCTGTTCTTGTAATCGAAAAGAAAAAGTGAGGGTGAAAGAACCTCGAGTGGAGGTTGTCAGGTCAGGTTAAGAAGGCACTCATCTTTATTGAACCCAAATACATAAACGCGGAAAGGAGAAATCGGATTTTATTTTCTTCAACAACCATTTGAATCATTGTTAAACCACAAGCTGAGTGCATTTCGACATCAAGTTGAAATCGTAAAGTGCACCCCTTTTATTGAAATTGTGATAAGATTGAACTCGTTTCTTTTTTCTTTTATATATACTATAGGTAATTAGTGACACAGTTACAAATTAACAGAAAGAATAAAAGTTTGCATCGTCGTCAGCAAGAAACAAAAGAATTTCATTTGTAACGAATATCGCAACAGCGATCGTACGCCTCCACGTTCGAAGAACTCTGGTCGTAGGAACTTACCTGGTGGGTTCGTAGTAGCCTATCAGAGGGATGGGTTTAAAGAGGCCGCGCGGTATAGTCTCGGCTCGCGTGTGCCCTGACGCGTAAAGCCGGTTAGTCGGTCTCGATCCTTCGTACCGGTCACAGTTGTCAAAACGCTCCGCGCCGAATCGTTTGTTCCTGTGTGTATTAACCTTATTTAAATTTTTCAGTGAAAACCACAGTGTATTTGAACTACGCAAAAGTATAAAGTGTATACTGTTTCTTTTTTAAGTGAATTTTATATTCAAAGTGTGTAGGTAGCTGGGATTTACACATAGCGTCTTCAATTTCATTTGGAATCAGGTACGTCGACTCTATGTTTATAAGAATTATGCGCATGCGTGCGTGATTAAATATTTAATGCGCAGTTCTTTACGTGATTACCGCGAAAATTTACAAACCATCGAATGTCAATACTGGGTAATCATAATATAATAAAAATTCAGAACTTACTTAACCTTAATCTCCTCTTTAAAGTTAACAATATATCTCTGATGAGCAAGCAACAGAGTATAAGTCAGAACGATCAGTTTCGTAGAACACCACTCATACATCTGAAGTGCAATGTTAGGTTAGGTGATCGTTTTGAACATGAAAGTTGACGAATTATGTTTTATTAGACTTACAAAATATATACCATACCCGATTTGGAAATGTTCTTCTTTTTTTGAAAATAACTTTTATGAATAGTGTAAAATTTAGAAAACGAAAATAATATTAATTGGAGCTCTCTCCATGGTCCGCCGTCTGAGAGTTGAAATAATTTCGAATCACTAGCGCTTAAAGACAACGAATGTAATAAACTCGTTCTCAAGATAGAAGTCACTAATTACCTGCGGTATATGTAATCTAAAAAAGGTTGAGACAAGTAAATAAAAGTAGTTCAATGACATATACGGCAGTTAGCGCGCACTCTCTGCGGATTACAAAGGTATTTATATGGACGCTTATAGGTGAACGGTATTTACAATGAACTTCCAGAATAAATATTATGATTCCTTAACTCAGTTGAGGTTAAATGATCGTTTAATAGGTTTCGTGGTATAATTGCGTGTAATAATCAGAGTGTAGAAACTATGAATATTTGAAAACTGAAATTACGTATGTGTAAACGAGAATTAATATTAAAACGTTTATAAAGTAAGAAAATTTTATTAAAAAGTAGTCTATTTTGGTAGTATAAGTGAATCTATAGTATATAACGTGTTGCTGCAATAAGTGTTATCGAAATGCTGTTCGAGTAACAATATATTTGTCTACTGTAATTCGTGTTTTACGCAAATTTGAAGTTCCGGTTTCCACGCTCGTAACACGAATGTAAATTACACGTTGCCCAGCCGTGGGATCGATCAAAATCACGGCAGAAGATTAATCGCCAGAGTAAAGCGATTACCGTGTCGTGAAACGGTGAACGATTTTCGTTTCTCCGAATTATTACTGCCAGTGTTCCCAATCTATAGATTTAATGCAACTGTAGCGTAACTCTGGATCGTGTTATCCTTCACGCTTTCGAGACTGTATGTCAGTGATAAATGAAGTTCAATTGCTAATTATAGCGGTATTGCCGTTTATGAGCTGAAAAAGATTTTTTGCAAGTAAGATACTGCACAGTATGTAGCGTTAAAGTGATAATGCTTGATCTTCATATAGCTCTGTAGGGACCTTCAGATAATCAATATATATTGTCAATATTTCAGTATGATGGATGTTATTGAATTTGTGAGGGACGAGATTGACGTGTTAGTAATATTTTGAATACTGATGAGGTAGCTCGATTGAAATTAAAATGTAATATTTTATGGTATTGATAATAGAAAAATAGGAGAATAGAGAAATTATTCTGAATTTTTAATAGGAAAATAAGAAAATTTCTAATAAATGAATGGGAATGGATTTCAAATTTCTAATAGAAAAATAGCAAACTTTCAATTAGAAGAATATTCCAAATTTCTAATAAATGAATGGGAATGGATTTCGAATTTCTAATAGAAAAATAGGATACTTTCCAATAGAAGAATATTCCAAATTTCTAATTCATATTTTGCGAGAGAAATTATATTTAATTCAAAAATTGGCATTGAATCTAGTGGACCATTGTGCCATGCCTATCAGCTCACCCCAATTCATACATGTAGAATGTGCATTGGTATGGAAGCCTGTGTTGAAAAACGCAGTGCTCCCACCATGGCACCCCTAAGATTAAGCGATGGAAATAATGCATGAAAAATATAACACAGCACGTAGGATGTAAACGAATGAGTTTTAGAAGCATCGTTTATCAAATATCTGGAGTTTTCCATGAATTTATTCTTGTTTCTCTCAATTCCCTGAGAATCCCCATAGCGTATGAATTTTTTCCCCCAGTATTTTTCGTAACGTCTGCAATTTCAAAATTAATTATTTTGTATATTTTAACGTAAAGAAAGTTTTAATTTCGTTTAGCTAATATAATATAGTTTCACGTAGAAGTCGAGTATTAATATTTGTTTCCGTCACTGTATACCAAGCATAGGCAAACTTTGTCGTGGAGGGCTACAAATTTGTCCCACGTCCCTGGGTTTTACTACCCCTAGTACATATGCACTCTTCGTCCTTGCCACCGCCATAGCAGCTGTTGGTATCAGAAAATCAAACTTTGACGGATAATAATTCAGTGATACTAAACTAATTTAAACAGAGTTATAAATTCAACCTGAACGAAAGTTTCGAACTCTGTGCACCTGAATTCCATATAACTTCATTTATTAAATACCAAGTTATTAACAGTCATTACCGTCCGTTCGGTTAGTTCCTGATTACCCTGTCAGCTACCATGCGATACAAACTCAATCAAGCGTTACTATAAATAAAATTCATCTCCTTGAGATAAATACTAGTTTCCGTTAATTACTATGATTTAACGCTGAACACCTGGCCGGTGTGTTTAAATTTGGCCTAACCCAAATTGCCGTGCGAAAATTCTCAAAGTGTAATCAAGTACCGTAAGGAAAAACGAATTGAACTTACCGTTAATCCAACACTAATTTTACTCTTTATAACAGCATTAACTGTTTAACTAATTAACTCTCCAACAGGCGAAGCCTGGCTCAATCGTGACACGAACTTAGAGAACAGAAGTTGCAACAACATGATCTATATTTTATCGACACAAAGCTCATTGTATATTTATATTTCTTCGTCCTAATATAATGAAAATTTTTATATAGATACTTCGTATTATGCTTTGTTTAAATAGGAAACCGAAGAATTCATCGTCAGCAAAGCTCCTTAATTACTGTACAAAAGAAAAAGAATACACGCCGTATTCGATCGAATAAATAAATAAAATATAAAAATCGAGATAACAAGACGTTTCTACCATCTCCGAAGAAATCTTCGCGGCAATAAATAGATTCTTTGAACATACCTGTTTAAAGTACTAGCAGTTACATTTTCACTTTCGAAGCGCGGACCATGGAGAAAGACCCAACCGAGTCTCCCCAGGACACCGTCTCCTCGACCCACGATTTCCTCGCGAAACTCCGTCGAAGCAGCCGGAACCGAGAATCTTACGACGATCTGACGAACCTCGAGTCGGAATTACGTCGAGCTTACATGTCGAAAGAGCTGGAAACGCAGCTGTTGGAGCGTCAAACCGAGCGTTACATCCAAAACATACGTAAACAACGGACATCGAAACAGCAGCTGTTGGATCAACAGGCGGTCCACGAGGAGGATCTGCAGCGACAGATCTCGAATCAAAAGAAATCCTCGGAATACAGAGCCGAGTTGACCTCGCAGATGGAGGAGAAGGAGGAAGAGAAGAAAATGATGATGGAGGAGGCGAGAATAGAAAGAGAGGTGCTGACGGAAGTAGACCGAATCAGGGAATACACCGAGAGGAGCAGAGCGGAGGAGACGAAGATGGAACGGATGGAAACTATGAAGAGAGAATATTTGATCCACGAAGAGATGAAGGAGATTCGTCGTCAGGAGGACATGGAAGCGGAAGCGATAAAACTTGAAGAGGACCAGCAGTATCTGAAGGAGTTGGACGAACGTAAATTAAAAATGAAACAACTTCTTCAGGAGCAACATGAAAGAAGGGAGAAAATTATTCTTGAATTAGGAAGAGTGTTGATGTGTAAAGAAATGGAGAAAAGAGAAAGAGAGATATTGATGATCGAACTGGTGACTGAAGATTTAAAACGCGAATTGATGATTAAAGATGAAGAGGAGAGGGCCAGGAGACAGATGATGAGGGAGGAACTAGCAAATGATCTTCAGGAGCAAATTATTTTTACTGAAGAATGTAAAATGCGTTTCGTGGAGCAAGACAAAGCGTTTGCCGAAGAGATCATGAAAAATATCATGGAAAATGAAAGAATTGCTAGGCTCACTTATAATGCCAGAAAAAGAATGCAGGCTCAGTACAAGGATGATCTAGCGAGGTTAATAGAGACCCGTCGTATCATTCGACAGAGGGAAATCTGTAAGATGGAGGAGGAAGCTAAGGACGAGGGAAAGAGGGAGAAGAAGAAGTTGGAGATGGTTCACGATGAAAGGAAGAGACTGTTGGAACAACACGTGAAGAATATTTCCGAGTTTATTGATAAGGCGGCCCTTACTCAAGAGGAAATGAGAATTGTTAATAAACCATGAAATTTATGTAATGACGGTATAAAGATTTAAATGCTGGAATGTCTTTTGGGGCGTTTTTAAGGATTTTTTGCATTTTTTTTTAGAATTTTTTAGAGCTCTAGAGCAATCTTAGAAAATTTTATGTTTCTTAAAATTTTTTAGCATTCACAGGGATTTTTGGGATTTGTTTGAACTTTCCGATAATTTTAGTGATTTCTTACATTTTTGTTGAAGTGTTTGAGTTTTCTAAAAATTTTTTGGATTCCTTATTATTATAATTCTTATAAATATATTAAATAAAAATCAGTTTCTATCAAAATAATTGTAACAACTGTACTCTTATTTTTAATTAATATTCATGATAAAAGTTCAATCTCCCACAATAAATTCCATCTCCTATCACGATTTATATTCAATTTATCAAGAAAGCTAATTAATTCCCACGAGTTCATAGACAGCAGTAAATTACATTTTATTACCACGTGAACTTCAATTCAAATTCAAATAACTTTTATAGTGTTCTTAGAATATGGCTACACCCATGCCACTTGTTGGCAGGTGTTGCCAATTATATTGGAACCTTTCACTTCCGGTGGATGGTTTCGGTCGAAAAACATCCCAGGGCTCGAGTTTAAAAATATAACTAGATAGACAATATAACTAAAAGAAAAAGGTACATATAACTAAAAGAAAAAGAGAAAAAAAAATATTCAAAAAGAATAATTATTTGACGTTTGCCAGTAACGATACACCGTTACTTTAATTTACAACGCTCATTCGTTTTCTTCCTGCGTCAGGGTGGAAGAATCAAGTTTCTTGGTCGTTAAAACGAACGGTGAATATCTCGTTGGGAGTATTTTTTACTATTCGTCCTGTGGACTTACGTAAGTTCGTGTTCTATAAACGTTTCTTTATTTGTATAAATCTAATGAAAGCGTAAGTATAAATGACGATGACACATTGAGTACCGTATTCATTTCATTACCTATTACTACTAATAGATTGCTCGTACCACCCTCGTTACCTATAGTAATCAAAGCCTCTTCGTTCGTGTATATTATAATTATTATTTAGAATGTAACTAACTTATTAATTCAGAGAAATCATTAACTATTTCAATGATTCGAAATTGACCATTTCAATGACCTTCTATATAACTCGTTACAGCGCTGTTTTTCTTTTTTCTTATTCCAGTTAGTAACTTTACCTGCTCACGAATAAATTGCCTTGAAAAGCAGAAGAATGTAAGAAACGAGTAAAGTTGGAAGTATCTCTCTTTTTTCCCTTTTATACCGCGTAACTGTTCCTCCGGATGAAACGATGGAGAAACAGAAACACTTTTCACGTTGCACGCCCTCCAATTATATCGCTCGTCGTACAAGGAAAGAGATGTTTAAAGTTGGAAAAAAAGATGTAGTCGTTTCGAGGATAATTTTATTTACAAATACAATTACATATTATGACGATTTAATTTTATTGATGTAATTAGACTCTATCGCTGATGTATTCTACAGAGAACACTTTCGTAAAAGAAAATTACTTTCTCCATGAAATAATAACTTTCAAAAAGTTACACACTGTTAGTCGTGCCTTCTACTCTACATCTCGTTATCTATTCAATCTCCTTATGACAAATAATATGGTGACACTGCTCATCCATTGTGACGTTATGGTTCTATTGTGTGCCATTGTGTGGTACCTTGAGGATACCAACAATGAGCAGAGCTACCGTAAGCCACGCATTTATTCCATCCTTATTCGTCCTATTTTACAAATAGATCGCTTTGCAATACTGTAAGCTCTTGTTATCCACGCTCTCTTTGCCCTTCTTACACTTCTCTTCCACGTGGATCTTTCGTACAAACCTATGTCCACTCGCGATACATCTCCAATTGTACCATTATACATTCGCGAGATTTGCATACGAACTCATTAGCGTAATGCATGGAGGACAATAGATGGTTGTGATTATTTCTTACTAACGCGTTCACGGTTGCGATGGGACTTAAATTAATTTTCTCAGATCTGGATGTTTAATTATGGAAGTTCGAAAATAACGCTCTAATAGTTAAGTCGATAATGAAGATATAAAATATCCTCGATTTTCTTTGGCCATTGTTTAGAAGTCTCGAAATCGTAGGCTGTTTATGCATCATTCTTATTATACAAAGAGGACTTCATAAGTTGAATCGGGAAGCCCTTGTTCGCAAAGGCGCCAAGGCGGTCTCGGTCTCTAAACCCACGTTCGACGAAGCCGTGTTTATGACTAATATTCGTAAACGTATTAAGTAACCGTTCACAATGGACGATCGATCTGCATAAGTTATGCGCGAGAAAGTTCATTCCTCCGCCTACTGCTGTTACCTATGCAGAGTGGTGCGTCTATGTAACGTAAATTGCCTAGCTCGTGGACGTCGTGTAACGAGATGTATAATGCGGTACACGTAAGTGTTTAGGGGGTGCAGAAACAGGAGATTGGAAAATAGGAAAGATCTATCAAACTTCCTGTCACGATTGCATCTCTAGACGACGCGACGCTTTTCTATGCGCGATACCATCGGCAAGAAAAGTGCAGAATTTTTAGATAGTTGATGCGTACAATAGATCGATTTAAAATTAAGAAAATCATTTTTGATCACTTAAAAAATCTATAATGTAAAATTCTATAAAATTCTATAATGAAAATTACTTCTACAAATTATATTTATTTTTATTGCTCTTCGAGTCACTGTACCTCATTTGTTCGGGTTAATTAGACGACAAGAAGGTTGAATAGTTACTTATAGTTACTCCTTTATTAACGATCAATTCCGTCAATATTGCCAGGGTATATTGACGTGATCTAATTACAAATATATTGGATGTCAACCTTGACCTATAGGTAATGCATGGAGAATTGCTGAGTACACTTGAGGGAGTACATGCCTAACAATGTGTTAATTACTTAGTGATACGATATACAAACGTAATAAGCCACAAAATTACAATTAACAATAAATTCTGGAATATATTTCATAATAAGACACAAGACAAACAATAAGCTTTATTCCTTGACAAAATATGGTGCTCTCGTATAATGTCCATAAATCATTCAATTTTGTTTGAAACATTACAATACCTGTACATGCCAGTTTCAAAGATTTACGAAGGTGGAACGGACGTGTCGTTTCAATTTTGACCCCTATAAAGTAAAGTTAGGAAGTGAGATATTTACGAGGACACGCATGGCTTGATATACGGTACAGTACCCCAAAGGATGACGGGGAACAGTGGTGAATTATACGCGAGCGAGGACCATGACGATGCCGTGACGAGCACAGCTGTCTGTCAGGTGTGCACTACGATCCCATTATATTCGTACAGCAATGTAGACCAAGCGTATCTTTTTTTTTTCTTTTCTTTAACCCTTTTATAGAGGAGTCTAGGTCAGTCGTGACCCTACAGAAAATAATTATATTGTTACGTGTGGAATAAAATATTTATAATTTAGGAGAATCTTATAGAATTTTTATAAAATTCCTAGAATAATTGATTTTTTATTTCAAGAATCTCTATAATTTTTTTTCATTTCTATAGAATATTAAATTAAAAAATCTCCAGCCACAGAGGTATAATTAAGGAGGATGAATTCTTATAGAAATATTCACATTAAATTTCATTAGATTTTATTTTAATAATTCTTATAAAATTTCTAGAATAATTTATTGTTTTATTTCAAGAATCTCCTTACAATTTTATTTTTTTCCTTAGAATTTTAAATAAATAAGTATGGAATTAAAAAATGTGCGGCAAGAGAGGTTCCGTAGTGTAGCGGTTATCACGTCTGCTTTACACGCAGAAGGTCGCCGGTTCGATCCCGGCCGGAACCATTATTTTTTTTTTCACTTGAATTTTTTTAAAATTCATTTGAAAGTAATAAAGTTATCATTGGTACAATTTATACTGCATAGCGATTACGTTGTGACAAGCGACTACGTTATAGTCACTCACCGTAGCGAATAAGGTGAAAGTATGGTAAAAGCAAATATATTTATTGAATGACAAGTCAATCGTTTCTTTTTCCAGATGTCCACGTGGCAGGGAAATTAACGTAGGCTGCAATGTTGGTGTGGTCGCTATGAACGAGAGCCGGTGCTACGCCGATTCGCCCGTGCTCGCTGAACATCAGCCATTCAACCGGAATGGGAAGGCAGTCAGGTGTGATTATCATAAACTCAGACCTGTACTACCGTATTTTATATTATGGATTCGCGTTTAATTGCTCGCGACAACGAGGGCGTGGAGAGAAATCGTGTGCACCACGTTGATTTATCGCCAATAATTGAAGAGTAGAAACACGAAAGTATTCTGCAACAACCATCGACTTCCCATTAATTTTCACCTCCCTATTCATCCACTTCTTTTTTACCAATTTAACACATACTTAAAGGTGTTGCTTATTTGGAAAGACGGCATTCTTCGGTTCTTCAGGTTACCGAAGATCCAGTTAACCCTTTGACGAACGATCATGAAGAGAGCCCCAATTTTAATTTACTTGTTTATTTTATATTACTTTCATCTTCTTAGATTTTTCATTTCTTGAGATTATGAGACCAGCAGGGAACATTATACTTATTGCTGCTAATTATAGCTAATTATTGCCGATGGGTTAATTTAAGTTGAATAAGAAAAATGTAGACGCTTTAATTATTAAGGTGTATTTAAATATTTATTCCAGGGGATCGAAGAAGAGCGTGCTATTTTATACCACCGATTACGGGGATGAGAAAGAAGATTTAGGACTGAAACTTCAACAACGATCAGTTTCTTTGGTAATTTTTCTACTTTATTATTCCATCTTCTTTTATTAATTTTGATATTAAAATTGCATTTATACTGTATAAAAATTTATATAAAAATGGTAATGGTCATAGGTGAAGAAGAAAATACTATACCTCTAAAGTTGGAAAAGTAAATATTTAGATAAAATTTTATAAAAGTTTTTGCCATTTTATAGTGAATTGGGAATATTTTCTTTTCGTGTCTTGTTGAGAATAATTTCCTGCTTACACTCGAAACCCTCTGATAATAATAATTGAACGTATCTTGGACGAACAATGGCTATCTCAATATAGAAAGTTATTAGCATCGGTAGAGAAAACTGCTTTGTCATTGGTTCCCGCTGGCTGATCGTGCCGGTTCAACGCAGTTAATT